TATGTATGTATATGGAGCTCTGGGGTGCTGGGGGCTTTTGGAAGTGGCTTTAAGGGGCAGCCTGGAAATGCAGCCAGACTCTGGTGGTGGAGTGGATAGGCATTTGGCTGCTAACCAGAAGGTCAGTTGTTCAAGCCCACCAGCTGCTCCATGGAAGGAAGACGGAGCAATCTACTTCCGTAGTGATAATGCCTCAGAAACCCAAGGAGGGGTCGCTATGAGTCGAAATCAACTTGACAGTAGTGACTTTGGTTTGGTTTTATCATATTTTTGGTCAGTGTTACCTTGACAGTAGTGAGTTTGGTTTTGGTTTTATCATATTTTCGGTCAGTGTTACCTAACTCTCGTTAGGTGGTTGTTGTTAGGGGCTGTTGAGTCAGCTCCTACCATAGTGACCCCATGTATAACAGAATGAAATTCTGGCCAGTCCTGCACTACCCAGCTAACTCTTACTAATTCTCAACTATACCACACAGGTGATATGATGAAAGCAGTGTATTCTTGGATTAATTTCACAGTTGGGCCCAGTTAGAAGGCTGATGCAGTAAGAATGGTATGAGTGTTAGAGTTAGAAATAGCTAGAATAGAAAAAGTCAAAGGGCTGAACAGAAGATTTCAAAGAGCAGCTTGAGTAGACAAAGCCAATTACTAGAATGAAATGTGCAAAGACCTGGAGTCTGAAAACCAAAAAGGAAGAACACGCTCAGCATTTCTCAAACTGAAGGAACTGAAGAAAAAATTGAAGCCTCGAGTTGCAATAGTGAGAGATTCTATGGGCAAAATATTGAATGATGCAGGAAACATCAAGAGAAGATGGCAGGAATACACAGAGTCACTGTACCAAAAAGAACTGATGGATCTTCATCCATTTCAGGAAGTGGCATATGATCTAGAACCAATGGTAATGAAGGAAGAAGTCAAAGCTGCAATGAAAGAACTGGCGAAGAACAAGGCTCTGGGAATTGATGGCATACCGATTGAGATATTTCAACAAACAGATGCCCCATTGGAGGCACTCACTCAGTTAGGCCAAGAGATTTGGAGGACAGCTACCTGGCCAACTGACTGGAAGAGATCCATATTTGTGCCCATTCCAAAGAAAGGTGATCCCACAGAATGTGGAAATTACAGAACAGTACCATTAATATTGCACGCAAGTTAAGATCTTACTGAAGATAATTCAGAAACATTTGCAGCAGTATATTGACAGAGAACTTCCAGAGGTTCAAGCCGGATTCAGAAGAGGACGTGGAACAAGGGATATCATAGCTGTTGCCAGATGGATCTTGGCTCAAGGCAAAGAATACCAGAAAGATGTTTACTTGTGTTTTATCGACTATGCAAAAGCATTTGATTGTGTGGATCATGACAAATTATGGATAACATTGAGAAGAATGGGAATTCCCGAGCACTTGATTGTACTCATGAGGAATCTGTACCGTGACCAGGAGGCTGTCATTCGAACAGAACAAGGGGACACTACATGGTTTAAAATCAAGAAGGGAGTGTGTCAGGGTTGTATCCTTTCTCCACACTTATTCAATCTATATGCTGAGCAAATAATCTGAGAAGCTGGACTGTATGAAGAAAAACGTGGTATCAGGATTGGAGGAAGAATCATTAACAACCTGAGATATGCAGATGATACAACTTTGCTTGCTGAAAGTGAGGATGATTTAAGGCACCTACTGATGAAGGTTGAAGAATACAGTCTGAAGTATGGATTACATCTCAATATAAAGAAAACAAAAATCCTCACAACTGGACCAATGAGCAGCATCACAATAAATGGAGAGAAGATTGAGGTTGTCAAGGAATTCACGTTGCTTTGTTCTACAATTGATGCCAACGGAAGGAGCAGTCAGGACATTAGACGACGTGTAGCATTGTGAAAGAACTGTTTCAAGTGCTGAGGAGCAAGGATATCTCCTTGAGGACTAAGGTGCGCCTGACACAAGCCATGATATTTCCAATCGCCTCGTATGCTTGTGAGAGCTGGACAATGAATAAGGAAGACCGAAGAAGAGTTGATGCTTTTGAGTTGTGGTGCTGGCGAAGAATGCTGAAAGTACCATGGACTGCTAAAAGAACTAATAGATCTGTCCTGGAGGAAGTGCAGCCAGAATGCTCCTTGGAAGCAAGAATGGTCAGACTTCGTCTCACCTATTTTGGTCATGTTGTAAGAAGGGACCATTCCCTGGAGAAGGATGTCATGCTTGGTAGGGTGGAGGGTTGACGAAAGAGGGGGAGGCCTCCAACGAGATGGATTGATACGGTGGCTGCAATGATAAGCTCAAGTATAGCAGGGATTGTGGGGCTGGCGCAGGATAGGGCAGTGTTTCGTTCTGCTGTGCATGGGGTCGCTATGAGTTGGAAACGACTCGACAGCACTTAACAACAACAACAACAGAATAGAAAAGGAGAAGAATGGGAGGAAAAAAAAATTCAAAGGGGAAAAAGACAATCAGGAATTTAAAGTCAGACAAAAGAGAAGAAAGCATCAAGGATAATGCCAAGGTTTTTAGCCTGGAAGACCAGAACTTTCTTTTGTCTGGAAATATGACAGAGAAAACATGAATCTATAAAATCATGAATGTTATGAATAGAGTGAACATGGAATAGCCTCACCAAATCCCAGGACTCTAGAATGTGGCCTTTGAAGCTTAAAAGGAATAATTTTAGTCCAATTTTCATGTTTTCAGTGATATTACTAAGAAAAAGGCCAGGAGAACTGAGAAGACTGAAGGACTCTGAATACCTTTATAATAAGAAACAGAAAATGAATTGGAAAAAGAATAGAATACAGCAAACTTCCAATTCTTGATTCAAGAGTCTGAGTCAAGATTACCTCAAAAGACTTAGGATAAATAACTTAAATCTGTTTCTGCTCCTGTAACTGAAGACTCCTCTGGACAAAAGGAACTTGGGTGGTGTAGTGGTTAAAACATTGGGCTGCTAACCATAAGGTTGGTGGTTCAAAACCAGCAGCTGCTCCACAGGGGAAAGGAGGTAGTTTGCTTCCATAAAGATTTACAGCCTTAGAAGCAGTTCTACTCTGTCCTAAAGGCTAAACGGCAATGGGTGGGTTTTGGCAAAAACAGATTGGTACCTACTTAAACCAAAAATACGAAACTCATTGCTGTTGAGTCGATTCCGATTCATAAGCAACCCCTCCTTGGGCTTTCGAGGCAGTATCTCTATGGAAGTAGATTGCCCAGTCTTCCTTCGAAGGAGTGGCTGGTGGGTTTGAACCACCAACCTTCTGGTTAACAGTCAAATGCCTTAGGCACTACACCATCAGAGCTTTTAAAACTCTCAGATAGTATCTATAGTCTGTTTCTTCTTCTTTTTTTTTACTTGTTAGATTGTTTACTTGACATGGAAATAAAGCCTGCTGAATACTTCATTGTATGTTTACTGTTTAAGTTTTTGAAGAGCAACACTAACAGTGAGATTTCTATTTAGAGTGATGCTGAGGGACTGATCTTTGGCACACAATCCACCAGCAGATGACCTGGATTTCTGCATCTTACTCTATTCATTTGTAAATTGGGGGTAATAATAATAATACCTCACAGGCTCTTGTGAAGAATAATGAATTCATATATATACATAAAGTGCTATGATCATTGGGCTGGAGCAGGCTCCCACAGATTCACGAAGTCAACAAAGCGTATCTTTTCCCAACTCCGGTTCAGTGCCATGTTAGAAGCTCAACACGAATCACAGAAATCAGCAAACACCATGGTTTTCTCAGAAAGCTGGTTGTTAGTCATTTACCAGCACATTACTGACTGAGACCCCAGTAAGAGTTCAAAAAATGTTTACAATTGTTACTACACCCACTCCTCACTTATCCACCTGGTTAAGTTTCACAGACCAGGTCATTATGCAAATTAGGCATTCCTCTGTGCTCTGGATTCCAAGGCCTGGCTGTCAGGGCTAGCACTCAAGTGGATCTGGGGCCTGCAGCTAGACTAGAGGTATAGCTGACAGCTCTGGTGTTTAGGCAACCAGCAGGACTGGGGGTCAAGACAGTCAGTGGAAGCTGTTACCTTTGCCCATACCCCCCACAACTGCCTCCTCCACAGTCCCAGCCACCTGCTGCTGCCAAACAGGCTGAGATAGATGTCATGGAAACAAGCAACACTGCTGGTCTTGGAGGGGTCAGAATCCAAGACCGAGAGCCTAGAGACTTAATAGCTGCTCAGAAGAGGAGCTCAGCAGCTCAGGATGTGCAGGATAGGGCAGCTGGCTTCTGCTGCAGCCCCCAGGACCTGAATTACCCCTAGTACCTTTCCTGCTACAGAATTTGGTGCCTCCAAGGGCTTGAATAGAAGGGAGAAGCAGCAGCAACCTCCCCTGCCTCCACCTTCTCTTGGCCCCCTCCAGCCACTTGAAGGCCCTTCTCCTTGTTAATCTTCTAGCAACAAAATTTTAGCACAATAACAATAAAGCGTATTTGGTCTCTCACCAAAAACAGGTGAGCTTACATTTTATTGGATTGAAAATCAAATCAAAGAGTACATGTACTCAATTACTTTATGGCAGGTCCCAAGCAGCAATCTCTACCTTTCTTTTTGATAGAAAGGTTTTCTGGTCTATTTCTCATACAAAGAAGTCCGATTATATTTTTCATTGTAAACTCACTCTAGAAAATCTAGCCATTCAGAGCTGCAGTCAAGGATTAGCTGCTCCCGGAGCTGATTCAGATGTCTGTAATTTTCTACAATAAAAGGAGAGTGAAAGCGGCTCACAGCTTTGGTGCTAGAAGAGAAAGAAAAACAGAAATAGAAGTCAAGGTTACTAAGAAATCAGTAATGCCATCACGTCCGAAAATTAAAGTAGTTATTTATTATTGTCAGATGAACTTTGAAAGTAAAGATCTGTAAATAGAGAACATTCTTGAATTATGATCCTGAATTCTACTGATTCCAAAGATCTCTGTTGTAAATAAAGTATTTGGAGTTCATTTGACTTTGTTCATTTTAAATGCATTTCAAATAATATCCATATGGAAAAGTCAGAGTTTAGAATTTTTATTTCATAAGCAGGAAGCTTTTTTCTTTATATTATACTAAATGAAAATGCTTTAAAAAAATGATCAGAAGCAAATACAGCAAAATAAAGTCTGATAAAACTGGGAGGTGGATACATTGGTGAACACAGTATTCTTTATATTTTATACTTTGTACGATAACTGAAGTAGTTCAATCAGATAAAGAAAGCTACAATTCATTATAATGGAAGGCAACACATTAATTTAGGAGAATGCATTAATTTAGGAGGCAAAGAGGAGGAGCTCATCATGCTCTAACCATAGCTTCCGAATGGCCCTGGATAGAAGAGATGCCACAGGCCCCTCTTCTAGGCTTCAGTATGATCTCTACTATCTTCTTCATCAAGAAACTGTAGAGCATAATGGGGAATGTGTGGGTTTCCAGCCACAGAACCTGGGCCAAGGGTCTGATTCTGCCACACTATTACTATTTATGTGACTTGGGACAAATAACTGACCTTCTCTAAACACTGCTTTCCTCATCTATAAAATGGGGATAAAAATAGTATCTCCATCAGAGTACTGTTGAGAGGGTCAAAACAGATAGTGCTTAGACAATGCTCAGCAGAGTGAGTACCTATGTTGGGAGTTGTTTGGTGGTGGTGGTTATGGTTGTTATGGTATTATTATGATGATATCTTAAAGAAGAAAAGGTCAGTGCTGAGTGATAGGCAGGTTATAAGAGTGTACCTTGACCTTTTCTTGCACCCCCATTCTTGAAATATACTGTCACAAGTGCCTTTAATATGTCAAGTCACTGGACTAGGGGGTGGGCCTTTCATGTTCAAGATATGACTGATGAGGTTCTAATACATGCTTGTCAAGGTCCTCATGGCCAAACAAGGGACAAAGAATTGCAAGGAACCTTCCCCAAACCATCTTATTTGTTCATTCAATTTTCACTATTGAATGCTAAAAAGATGCTAGCACTGATTTATGTCTTGTTTGTTACTTTTAAATTACATCATCTAGATCTGGTAACGTAGTACCTAAGGCACCTGACTGCTAACCAGAAGCCTTGTTGGTTCAAACCCACCAGCCCCTCCTCAGAAGGAAGATGGGGCAATCTACTTCTGTAGTGATACTGCCTCAGAAACCCAAGGGGGGGTTGCTGTGAGTTGGGTCCGACTCAATGGCACATAACAACAACAACAACAGATTTCTGTGCAGACATATTTATCACAGCTTTCTCTTCTGGCAAAACCCATTTAGAAAGACATTTAAGGTATTGTTATAGATTGACTAAAATGATTTTTGTAATTTCTCTTCATAAAGCATATTTTCATTCATCAACTGTAGTGTAAGACATAAGTAAAGAAAGAAAAGAATGCCTGCATAGAAAGAAAGAAGTAATTTCCTAAAATCAACAACACTTAAATCTAAATTACATACACCTGGAAGCACAGAGGAAAAAATGGATGGTATTAGAGCCAAATAAACCTATGCTTATCCCTTCAACAAGGAGCTCTGCTGGTGTAGTGGTTCAAGGACCCAGGTGCCAACCAAAAGGTCAGGGGTTTGAACCCACTAGCTGCTCTGCAGGAAAAAGAAGAGACAATATGCTTCTCTAGAGATTTATTATAGCCTTGGAAAACCCTCTAGACAGTTCTACTCTGTTCTATAGCGCTATGAGTTGGAATCAACTTGATGGTAGCAGATTTGGTTTTGGATTATGCCTTCAACATCTTTTGCTAGTGGCAAAGGATAATAGGTTCCTTTTTAAATTAAAACAATAAAATTAATAATCATTCACATTCCATGTCAAGATTCTCCTTTATCCTTAACATAGAGTACCTTAACACCATCACCAGCTACCCTCTTCTATACTAGGCAAATGCTAACATTTTCCCCTCAAACTTATGAATAACAGTAACAATTAATATTCCACAAAGAGAACAACTCATAGAAATGTACAGTTCTCTCATATCCCTCTTGGGAACTAATGTCTAACCAAGGAAAATAGGCTGAGTCTCGCTGTGGTTCTCTAATTTTGTTTTTGATTAATTTCGTTGAAGCAGTTCATGATATAAATTGCAAAAAGGATGCAAAAAAGTTATCATTAACTATGTGCCATGGAAAGCATTAAGAACAGAGAAATTCAGAGCTCAGTGAGGTAGAAAATGAAATTTCAGCTTCTTAAAAGAAATGTCAGGCATAGCATTCATTCATCAGGAAGTTCAAGCAACCAAATTAATCTTATAATTAAAGGTTCCTCAGCTTTTATTTTTTCATGTGCTTACCATGTACACTGAGCTTGGAGAATAAAACACTAATTTACAAAACAAGAAAATAAATATATGAAAGTAAGATACTCTTTAAAATGTTTTTAAAATAAATGATAAAAACAGTTTAAAATAATGATCTCCCTGGCTAAGAAATTCATAAGAAAATTGCTCTTAATTTCAAGAATGTGGCTATTATTAATCCAGTAGCACACAGGTATAGAGATTTCATTACAGTTTATATTAACAAGAAAAAAAATGTATTTTAAACCTACCTTCCCACCTTAACCCAATCAGTTGGTATACAAGATAGAGCTGAATTCTTTATTTCAATCATAAACTAAAATAAATACAAAAAAAACAGTTAGATATTCAAATTATTAACTGTTTGACTTTCTTATTTTCTCCATGCTGTGTTACAATAGTTTAGTAAATGTAAATTTGAAATATTTGAAATAAATCCAGTATTGTTCTTAGGAGAATTTACATATGTCTATACAGCCAGATATTATAAATTAAGATTTCAATACTTGGGATAAAATACAATGATAATGAGCAAAAAATCTGTAATAAAGGATGTAACACAGAGCTTTATTGTTTTACTATTGTTATATTCATAATACGGATGGTGATTTTTCCTTAATGACCTCTTTCATTTCATTTCGACTTACAGTGATACACCTTTGGGTTTCTGAGGTGGTAAATCTTTATGGAAGTAGATTGCCCAGTCTTCCTTCCACTTTCATTTATTAGTATCCACTTATTTAAGAATTCTATTACTCAGGTAGGGATTCACTGGGTGGTGCAAACAGTTAAGTGCTCAACTACTAGCCAAAAGGTTGGCAGTTTGAATCCACCCAGAGATGCCCTGGAAGACAGGCCTGGACATCTGCTTCTGAAAGGTACAAGGCCTTGGAGACCCCAAGGAGTAGTTCTACTCTGCACACTGGGTCACCATGACTCAAGGTCAACTAATAACAATGATGACAACTCAGGTAGTAAGATTAAACTTATAAACATAAAATTTTAAATTATTTTATTAATAGATACAACAACAGGTTGAGATTCAGTCCCTCTCCTGTTCTGCATCGAAGATCGTAACAGTCAGTATCCAAGAAGCCTGAGCTTTCCGAACGCAGCTTCATAAAGAGAACACTGACTTCCCCAATTATTAAGAGAGGAACATAGTTGTTTTTATATAGTGTTTTCTTGAAGCTTTCCCTTATATGAACCATATATTTATAGATACAATTTTTTTAGATTTTTGTTTGTTTGTTTGTTTAACTGTGGTTGGGTAAAAGTTTACAGATCAAACTGGTTTTCCATTCAACAATTCATGCAGTTTGCTTTGTGACATTCACTGCAATTTGCACAATGTAACAGCACTCTTCTTACTTCCTCCCTGTGTTTATCATTTCCCTTCATCCTTCTTTCCTAAACCTTCCTACCTTCTTGGCTTTATCCCAAGGCAAATGCTGCCCTTTTGATCTCATATGGTTGATTATTCTAATGAGCGCATACCTCCCTGGTGTTACCATTCACTTATGGTCTGCTATCATTTGGCTGAAAGTTGAGCCACTGGGGTAAGTTCACTTCCAGGCTTGAAGGGTAACTAAGGGCCTTAATCTCAGGGGTTCCACCAGTCTCTATCAGACCAGTAAGTCTACTATTTTTTATGATTTTGAGTTTTTGTTTTACATTTTTCTCTCAGCCTATACAGGACCTCTTATATGATCCCTTTCAGAGTGGTCAGCACTGGTAGTTGGGTACCATCTAGTTCTGGTCTCATGTTTGTGGAGGTTGGGGTTCACAAGGTCCATTAGACCTTATGACTAATTATTTCCTTGTGTCTTTAATTTTCTTCACTCTTCTTTGATCTGGTTGTGGAGACACCAATAGGTACACCCTAGATGGCTTCTCACAAGCCTTTGAGGCCCTAGTCACTACTCACCAAACTAGGATACAGAATGCTGTCTCTGTCAGTCAGTTTATGCAGAAGGACTTTAGTGTCCCCTGACACTATGATCCTAAGCCCTCAGACACAGGAACTCATTCCCTAGAGATGTTTGGTTATGGCTAAGATGTTTTCATAACTTTACCCCCCATATGCTCTACTACCTTCATGGATATACTTCCAGCACATATAAATACGTATGTAGAGATATCCTCTGTCAAATCTATATATATTCATGGGTGTAGTTCCATTCTCCCATTTTGCTCTGCAAGCAAATTTTTCTGAAGTCAATCAGCTTCTAGAGTAAGTGAAGTCAAGTTTTTCAATCACATCTTTCATTTGAGCATTTGCTCTAGGTCATCTTGTTGCTGTTAGTGCCATTGTGTTGGCTCCGACTCATAACACCCTTACATACAAGGTCATCTTAGTGTGCTCTAATTTCTGAATTATTATAACGAACTCCCGTATTTTATTTAAACAAATTTTTTACAAATCCTTATTTTATAAAACTTCTTGAACCCAGAACTTTTGTAGCTGCCACTAATCTTAAGAGGGCTATGGGAACTTACTTCCGTTTATCAGCTTTATAATGTTCCATGTATTTTTGATAAGTATATTTTTAATGTATCACCCTGGCTTGTGAGTCTGCTTTTCCATTAACAGAAACACTGTAGCCTTTATACTAATTATAACAGGAATTAACAGTTAATTTTATATATTTTCATCCTTAACAAAAATTTAGGAATTAATGATGTCCTCCTGTACAGAGAAGTATTCACACAATTTCAAATCTGCTACACAAAAAAAGTTAATTAAGAGTGAAGAATATAAAAAGTCTCTTGACTACTAAAAATATCTTAAGAAAACCCCACAAAATAACTATCATTGACAAGAAAATAAACCTTTCCTTAAAAAATTCCACCTAAATGCTATTTTAAAATGTTGTATGAGAGGGCATATTCGCCTTTTTATAAAATAATTCTGGGAAGAGCTGTTGCAAAGGCAAAAAGTAGAATTCAGCAATGTATCAGATCGTTTAGACCAGCAAGATGGCGGACTAGGCAGAAAGACTGCACAGACCCTCTTCAACAAAGAAAAGGGAAACCAATTAACACAGACACAGAAGATAATCCTGGATCCCTGAGCCTTGAAGGGAAAAATATAGAAGTGGACTAAACCCCAACTAGCAGAACAATTTATGTGAAAATACCAAAAAAAGGAGACATAC